AGTATAAATTTCATAAAAAGAACTCTGGAAAACAATTGGCACTATTTTGTAAAGTTGGACATCAGTTCTCCTATTTCTAAGCCATAGAGAAATGCTTGCACAATTACATCAGGAGAAATATAGAAGAATATCCTCAGTAGCATTCTTCATAATCACAAAACACCAGAAGTAATTGAAATGTCCATAAACAAGCGAATGGATAAATACATTTTAGACTTTTCACATAATGGATTATAATCGACCAATGAAAATTAAAGACGTATAGCTACAAAAAACAACTTGCAATGTAAATATTGAGAGGAAAAGTCACAGAAATCTATAAAGAGTGGATACCTTGCCACTTTGTCAATACAACTAATTTGGAATTACGTGACCCAGAAGTGCTTTCTCAGCGTGATTTCGAATTAACATTACTACAAAAGAAATTTGTCTAATATTTAAAAGGTGAAACTTTTAAGTCTCAGATGGTAACATTCACGTGCAGTTGCAGCTCACACACGTTGTCACTGATCTTGGCAGAGGACAGCAGCCAGCCCTGCAGCTTCCCCAAATCCCTCCAGATCTCCTTCACCTTCTCTGATTCTGGCCAGGTGTGGCTCAGCCCTGTGGTGAAGAGAATCATCTTCTCTGTCAAGTCACCTACATCATCAAGATTGGAGGTCATGAGAGACAGGTGTGTCTCCAGTTTCTCCTTGGTCTCTCCCACTTGACTCCAGCTTTACCTCCAGTCTCAGGGACAGCTGGCTTTGAGCTGAGAGAGGCAAAAACAAACAAACAAAAAGACTACATACACTGCCGAATCAGTTCCATAACTGCCTAAATTCTAGTCCCTTGGTCTATATCACTCACATGCTTTCCGCTTTTCTAAGCAAACCCTAATTGTATGATGCCAGTGTGAGGCCTTTTAGATAGCTCAAAACTAAAAGTAAATAACAGATTGTTTAGGTATGCATCATATATGATGAAACTTTTTTAAACAAAGAAAATGGTAGACATAAAATTCACCTCTGAGAGGGAGGCAGGAATAGAAAAGGATAGAAAAGAAATACATTGATGGGCTCAGTTGTATTCAGAATGGTGTTGGCAGACTTCTCAATATGGGAGGAGGGATTCACTCATGTTCATTTTATTGTTTTGCTTCACAACTTATACATTATATAGTATGTTTTATTCTTTTTCTTATTTATACATTTATAATTTTGTATGTATAAAACATAAGAAGGGCATGAAAACAAAATTGAGTTAAGAAATCAGTAATTCAACAGGAAAAGAAGGTAGTGCCCAGTGCCCAGAGCAGAAGGTGCACCATTTTCTGAATCACCCCTAGAGAAAAATGATCTTCGAGGACAGCGGAGTATGAAAACGTGAGCAGGCCCAGAAGCAAGCCACAGAGTAATTAGAATAATTTAGGAGTGGAGTATGCTCTTATAGTACCCTGGGTACAAAACAGCTTCTCTGTCCTATGTGCTAATAAGTGATACACAGAAATAATGGTAGAAAAAGGAAGGACAGACCTAGAAGGATTTTATTGCATAAGAATAATACTAAGAAGCTGGAAATAAACCTAGTATCTAATAAGAGATATTGTTTAAACAAATTATGGTACATTAGTGTAATGGGAAATTATGTAGGTATTAGACTGAAACAGGATTATGTACAATTATATGGAAAGATATCCATGATATATTGTTAAGGGAAGTGAGCAAATTATAGAACAATATATGCAATATTAACAAATTTCTGTTAATAAAAATGTATAGCTATTTTATATATGTCTATGCAGGAAAAAAAAAAAAGTCAAGAAAACACCACACGGGGAAGCTGGATTGCTTGAAAGTTGTTTTCTAACTTTACATACTGCTGTGTTTAAATTTCTTACAATGAGCTATATAAAGAAAATGTTTTGAGCTGGCCTAAAATTTAGGGGAAAAAATCACTTTACGAAAAGGAGAAACCTAGGCCATCGTATATTTCACCTAGTACTCTGAGTTCATCATCTTCATGAATAAAACAACTCATTGCTAACATTTGAAATTCTTAAAGTGGATGGCACTGAAATAAGCTTATGCCTATCCTTAGAATCTTGCAAAAGAATTTTTTTAGGAAAAGAGAAAACTAATTTTACTAAAAATATATTTAAAAGGTTAACATTAGCTGTAGACTGCATTACAAGTATTATTTTCTTTATTAAAATGTTGGCCCATTATCAATTAAATCTCTCTCTTTACAGGAAAAAAAAAAGATGAAAGTACTTCCCTTTAATACATGAGAGTAAAGGTGTATACACACAAAAACATAAAATGATACACAAAAGCCCCCTTTCCACCAATGTAAATCTTTTCTTTAAAGCAGTTATCATGCTTAAAATCGTATCATTATTTTAGCAACCAGTTGCTAAAGGTCTGGGCTCCTCTGATTGGGCTATAAGCTCCCCGAGCTCCCGAATCCTATCGTTCTAGTTCCCTACTGTATTCACAGTGCCTAGGAAATGGTAGTTGTACAACAACTATTTGTGGAGGAAAGGAAGGCAGGAAAAGGAAGAGGGAGAAAGGAAGGAGGGAGGAATGAAATCACATTTTCAAAGAAAGAAAGGAATATCCAAGGCCATATCTGCTAAAGAGATGTTATCAGTATCATGTTATCAATGTTTACATGTAAGACTCATGTAATCAATGTCACAGAACTGACCCTGGAACTGCTTTCTAATAGCTCACCTAGAATTCTTTCTGCTCTACCAGGCAACAGATCCTATTCTGTTTCAAGTTAGTGGGTTTCCTCCCAATTTGAACCAAAAGAATATTGATGTATATAGTATAGTTAATTTGCTCTAAATTTAGCCAAGCACTTCAACACCTACTACCAAAATGTCAGATACGTTACTGTAAAAACATTTGAATCAGATCATTTGATTAGGACAAAAAGACTGTGAACATCTTGACATAATTTCCCTTCTTTCCTTTGTCTCCAACATGTATAGAGCTGAGTCTAGAAAACTCTTTTCTTTTGTGATGTTATTGAATTTCATATCAGGCAAAAATGTAAAGCCATAGCATTGTGTTCAGAAAAACTAAGTAAATTCTTTGAAAATACCATTTTTATTAAGGCTTTCTTTATTGAAAAGAGAAAACCATCTGAAAATTGATACATTTCCATATTCTATAATCCATTGCAATTCCTTACTAGTCCAGCTTTGAAAAATAATTTTAGCCATTGGGATAGTATTATTTATATATTCTAGTCATATCCAAAATCTAAAGGTCTTGCTGAGGCTAAATATGGTTTTGGTGGACTGAGGAACAATGAAGATTCAAAGAGAATTAGACTACTGAAGTCTCATATTTAAGACATAATTAAGTCTAGGAAACGAAAGCTGAGTTTAGGCTTATTCTCTGAATTCTAGAATTGCTAGAAAGAAAACTTAAAGGGTATTATTTGCATTGGAAATAGTGCATAATTTATACTTTGGAGACCAAAAAAAAAAGAAAGAAAAAGAAAAGAAAATCATACAAGAACACGCATCTGCATTACCATAAACTTGTTTTTTTAGGGATGGATTCACTCCTTAATTCAACAGAAATTATGTGTCAGAGAGTTTTTCAGGGAGTTAGTATTTTATATATAAGTCACAATGTAAATCACACCCAGAAGGCAACTGATAGATAACATATTAAATAGTTCCATCTTTATTTAAAACTGAAAAGAGTATATTATAGTGCTTAAGAATTGCTATGGACTTAATTGTGTCCCCCAGAATTTATATGTTGAAGCCCAAACCTTCAATGTAAAATGTGACTGTATCTAGAGATAAAGACCCTAGGAGGTAATTAAGGTTAAATGAGGTCATAAGAATGAGGTACTAATACCACAAGACTGTGACCTTATAAAAAGTGTAAGATCTCTCTCTGTCTCTCTAACATAAACACACACAGAGACACACACACAAACACACACTTTGCTCTGTCTCCCTCTCCCCCTCTATATCAAGTAATGAATGACAAGGAAAGCAGCCATTTGAGAGCCAGGAAGAGAATCCTCAAAAAATAAATAAGTAAATAAATAAATAAACACAGACACACACATTTGGCCAGCACCTTGATCTCTGACCCACCAGTCAAGAAAACTGTGAGAAAGTAAGTTTCAGGTTTTGAAGCCAACAGTCCATTGTATTTCGTTATGGAGGCCCAAGCTGACTAAGACAAGAACATAGATTGTTTTTTTAATAAGACAGATCTAGTTTTAAATTCTTTCCTAGCTAACTCTCTAAATCTCAGTTTTCTGTTTGTAGAAAATTATGAACCCACCTCCAAACTCTGCTTTCAGAAAGAAAGCTATGGAATTAAATAAATGGTAACTATTTTTATTTTATGTTTTATTTACCATTTACATAAACTGTTTAGCAAATCATGGACTTTATAACTTATAGAAAACTCAAATAATCCATGTTTACATGCTAATTAATTATTAATAATCACTTGTCCAGAAAGAAGTGATTTGTCTTTTACGAGTCTAATCATTTGTCTTGATCTTCAACTTCAAGGTAGAATGACCTTTGAATGACTAGCAGCATGTCAGAAGGCACAAATGGCCATTAAGCAAGAGAAAAGATTGTAAAATTATTCTATTAAGTTGTTGAATACACTCTTCATGCAGCTTTTAGTGAAAATATTTTAAAGATATAGTCTTATTGTTTGTATCAATTTACATGGTGCTATTAGTTTGAGTAAACATTGCCCTCAGCTATGGTATTTCATACAATATAAGCAATCACTGTAAGCTCTCAGAATGAATGGATAAATCCAGTCATTTTAGCAATAGAAGAAATATTTACGATTAGCTGCCCTAATACACATTTACTTAATCACTCATTCAACAACATATAATTTCCATGTATCATATATAATCAGAAACATATATCTCCATGGCATGCTGTGGAAATACTAAAAGGAGCTAGACATGGTCTTAGTCCTTAAGCAGCTGGATCCCCAAGGCTTAGTGAAGAATTTTATCTACATATTTTCATATACACTCTTTATTTACTCTTTTCATTTATGCATTCAGTTAATATATTTAAGCATCCACAAGGTGTTTAGCACTGTTGTAGGAAGTGAATATATAGCAAAGAAGAAGACGACAAAGCTCCTTCTTCCATGATGCTCCAGTTCACAGTCTGTGTTGTACTTCCCTGTTCACTACTTTTTCTTCCCTGTGTCTTGGGCACATCCACCACCTACCAAAGATTTTTGCACCTAGAAACAAATAGTGTAATTAGACGGAAGTAGGAATAGTGTGAGTGCCATACTCTTGCATCCAATCTCATGGCAGATATTGTTAATTAATTATAGCTCTCATTCCCCAAAAGTATCAATGTGATCTTAAAATCCTTTTTATCAGTATTTGTACCAGTCAGGACCAATAAAAGGTAATAAACTCATTAAAATATTGGTCTATTTTAACCTCTGAGTGGAATGAAGAAGGCAAGGTACAAGTTATAACTCCACTTCAACAAACAGAAAAAACCGTATACATCCCAAAGTCAAGTTCGTAAGACATCGAAGTAGGGAGGATGCAAAGAGGACTAAATGAACTGTTTCCAGAGGTGGAATATTTCTTGTGAAAGATGAGACCAACAGTTTTCTTCATGGCAGCATTTGCCAAATCTGTGCACATAGTAACGATTAAGCTTGACTTAAGCAAAGAACTCCTCTAGGAGAAACAGAAACCCTCAGAGCTTTGGGTGGACACTGGCAGTGGAATCTAAAGGAGCCCCAAACATGAGTGCTAAGGTGGGGCAAAGCAGAGCAGGAACTCCTGTTTCTTGCAATGCTTAAGAGATAAAGTCCCTCTAGAAGGAGGGGTCTGCAACTAACACAGGGCGTGTCTGTACTTTAGAGAAGGACTAACTTTTTACTTGCGGTGGAATCCAACCCCTATGTGGCTAAATTCCCAGTTGTACTGAGATGATTTGTCCTCAGTCTATCTGCATAAGAGAAAAGGGAAAATCTTGTTTGAGAGGAAAGTAACATCAACCTCTCTCTACAGTTGTAACATGTATAAAAATGAAGCATCTGAATAAACTGGAAAACATAACAAAAGAAAATGAAAAAAAAATCAGATGATATAACAACACTTCCTCTTCTCCCTAGCTATGGATATCATTGGACTAAACAGATAAAAGCTTTAAAATAACTAACGAATAAATTTAAACAAAAGACAATAAATGATGAGCAGAATGAAAGAAAAGACAGAATTTTAACATGTAATTAGAATCAATATAAAAATCAAATGAAACATTCTAGAACTGAAAAATATAAAATACATGAATTAAAAACTCTAGAATGTGTTTAATAGCTGACTAGACACAGCACAGAAATTATTAGTGAACATAGAGACAGAAAAAATTCAGCTTGAAGACAGAAAAGAAATGGAAAGAAAAGAACTAAGCATTAACAAATACAGAGCAAAAATTAATATAGTATATTCTAGACAATAAAGCAAGTATGAATATATTTCAAAGGATTAAAATCATACAGAATATGTTGTCCAGCCACAGTGTAATTATACTAGAAATCATAACAAAAAGGTAATTAGAAAATCACCAAATGTTCGGAAATTGGGAAGCACACTTCTAAATAACCAATGGTTCAAAGATGAAAATATAATAGAAATAAGAAAATATAGTAAAGACAATAATAAGTTAAAGTTTAAATTAAATTAAAGTGGACATAAAAAGTTTATGCTATTAGCACATATTGTTTAGGCTATCCACTCAAAGTAGTATTAATGTGTAATCAATTAATATGTGCTCCAAACTTTGATGGATTTTACTTAACAACACAGTTTAGAAACACTTATTAGAAATACAACAATACAAATCAATTTCATTTTTTGTTATAACTCCACTGTTTGACAGCGCCATAAATGGTTGATTAGGTAATTTCCAATTAGTTTTTGGGAAAGAGTCCTGCCCTGAGCAATTAAGATGTGTGCTTTCATAGAGTATCTATAAATTCCTAGCAGTAGAATACTTAGAATTTCTGTGTTCTTCACAGTTCTCAGGTATAGAAAATTATGTTTTTCGAAATAACTTTATTAAAGTACAATTTACATAAAATAAAATTCAGCCATTTAAACTGTACAATCTAATGAGTTTGACAGAGATATATCTATAGACATAAGTATTCATACAAGGAGATATCTATGTAGAGATATAGATCTATATCCATGTAACCACTACCACAGTTAAGATGTAGAACATTTGCATCATTGTAAAAACTTCCCTTGTGCCCCTTCCCAGTCAATCACCTCCCTGCATCTCAGCTATCACTGCCCTGCTTTCTTTCACTGTGTATTAGGTATTTCTTTTCTAGAATTTCCTATACATTTAATCACAGATTAGAAATTCTTCTGTGCCTGAGTTCTTTTGCTTAGCTCATCATACTGTTATTGTATTTATGAACAATTTCTTTCTATTGCTGAGTACTATTCTGTTATATGGATATACCATAATTTGCATCTCCATTTACCTGCTGAATTTGTATTGCTTCTGTTTGGAGGCCATTGTGAACAGAGATGCCCAAATCATTGATGTATAAGTCACTGTGTGGACACATTTTAATACATCTTATGCACAATTGTACAGTAAAACTATTTATCCACTCAACTGTTAATGGATCTATGATTGTTTCTAGTTTGGGGCTACTGCAAGAAAAACTGCTACATACATCCTTGCACAATTTTTTTGATACGGCTTTATTTTTCTTGGTTAACTACCAAGTGAAATTGCTGACTCATATGGTAAGGATATGTTTAACAACATAAGAAACTGTCAAACTGTTTTTGCAAAGTTAAGGTACCATTTTATATCATTGCTGGTGATGTAGGAGAATTCCAGTTGTTCCATATCTATGTCAACACTTAGTGAATCAACCTTTAAGTTTTAGCCATTGTAGTGGACGTGTAGTGACTTTGTTTGTCCCCAGTGTTAAGTATCTTACCATGTGTTTATTGGCTATTAGTATATTTTCTTTTATGAAATGTTTATTACAATCTTATGACCAAATTTTAACGAGGTATTTTCTGTTATATTGTTATTTAGTTGTAAGAGTTACTCATTAACTCTAGATACAAGTCTTTTGTTAGATATATGTACTATATTTTCTCAGTTCATGAGTTGACTTTTCATTTTTTGATGGTGTGTAAGAATAGAGATTTTTAATGTTAATGACATTCTATTTATCAACTTTTTTATGATTCATGCTTTCTGTTTCACATGTAGGGAATCTTTACCTATAAGAAGATCACAAATGTCTTCTCCCATGCTTTTCCCCCACAAATTTGTAGTTTGAGCTTTGAGGTCTTACATTTAGATCTACTACTAATTTCAAGTTAATTTTTGTGTATGGTGTGAAGTAAAGGTATCCCAATATCTTGGGGATTTCTGGTGTTCTGCATAGCGCTTACCTCTTCAGAGTCCTTTGCTGCAACTTCAGCCTCCTTCCAAAACTCCTGAACTCTGATATGTGTCTTCTCTACAAGGCAAGGCCATATATTCTACTTGGGACTTTCCTCTGCACTGTGGTCTTGCAAGTGTGTTTCTCAATAAAAATACAGGATGACTATACACTTTACGGGGTTTATCTCTTTTTCTCTCAGGGATCACAGTGTTTCTCTGCCTATTTTCCAAAGTCTGACACTATTATTTCATCTAATTTTGTGCTGTTTTCCATCTCTTTCTCTGTGGAGCAAGGATAATTCCATTCATTATAATTATGGCTGTAAATGCAAGTCTATGTGCCCCGCATTTTAATCAATATTACCCTTTCAAAATGTACTCCACAAACAGGCCTATCATGAGCAACAGACACATTCACTAGCACTGCTTATCATTATTTAAATATTTTCCAGTAAGATAGTATATAGTTTTCCTAGGGTTGCCATAACAAATTATCACAAACTGCGTGACTTTAAAACAACAAAATGTTATTGTCTCACTAGTTTTGGAGATTAGAAGTCTAAAATCAAAATATGAGTTGGGCATGTTCCCTCTAAAACATGCAGGAGAATCCTTTATTGTCTCTTCGTAGCTCTGCTGGTTTGTTGACAATCTTTGACATTCATTGGCTTGTAGCTACATAACTCTAATCACAGCCTTGGTCATCACATAGCATTCTCCTTGTGTTTCTGTGCCTTTATATGGCCCTTTTCTTAGAAGGATACCGGTAATATTGGATTATGAGACTACTCTATTCCTGTGTGACCTCATATTATCTGATTATATGTCCAACAACTTTATTTCCAAATAAGGTCATATTCTGAGGTACAGGGGTTTAGTACTCCAGTATATCTTTTTTGGAGGCCGACCACAATTCAATTGATTACAGATAGGTAGAAATGACATGTTATTATTCTGATTTATGTTTATTTAAACGTGACTAAGGTAGAATTTATTTTCATGTTTGTTGGTTATTTTTATTTTATTTTCTACTGTCCATTTACGTCCCTTCTTATTTTTCAATTGAGTTGTACATCTTTATACTCTGAAGGAATTCTCCATAAAGTAAGGAATTAAATCTCTTGTACCTCATGTATGTTTAGTAATTCTTCAGTTTGTAATTTGTCTTTTGACTTCATATAAATTCAAATAGGTAATTCTGCCTGCTAGATAATCTTAAATTCTACATAATCAAATTTGTCTGTTCAGGTTAGTTTTGCCTTATTTGTGTCTAGGTTTTAAGTCTTAATTTCAAAGACTTCTCCTACCCCTGATGTTAAGGTATAACACCCCTTTTTACATTCAAAGTTATAAATAGCCAATTGCCCTGTTACATTTGTTGAATAATATACCTTTCATTTATTTTGAAGAGATTGCCACTTTCTTCTTTGGTCCGTTTTATTTTTATTTCTTTTATTTAGTTTTTTGCAACAGGGTCTCACTGTGTTGCCTAGGCTGGATTCAAAATCCTGGGCACAGGTGTTCCCTCCACCTTCGCCTCCCGAGTAGCTGGGACTACAAGCATGTGCTGCTAAGCAAGTCCATTTTCTGTTTCCTCTGTAGTATTAAGTTTGTAGTTTTGTCACTTAACATGTGGAAGGATTATATACCCATTAAATTCTTATCTTAAATATTTCAAATAAATTTTATTGTCATTTTATCAAGTCATAAAATATTCTGCTGGCATTTTATTTGATATTTCACTGAATTCAAAGATATAAAAAGAACTGGCACCCTGAAAATAATAACCACCTAGCATACAAATTATGGTCTCCAGATACCACACTTTCTTAATAAAAGAAAGTAGGGTTCCTTAGACATACAGTTAATTATAAGTATGAAACAAAACAAACAAACAAAAAAACAAATAAGAGGATGTTAGATATCTTTTTAGAGCAGGTAGCAAGGCAGTAAGTAAAGTGATTGTGTCAAAAGCATTCATGAGTGAATTTTGAAGAGGCTGCCATCGGCCAAAATTAAAACAATCTAAGTATCAAGAAGGATAATAATTGCAATGGATTGTAACATAAAACACCAAGCAATAACTGTAAAAACAACAAATTAATTGGTCACCATTGGAGAATGATAACAACGATTATTTCCCAACCCCAATGCTTTGGCTTTTCTGTTCTTTATAACATCACTGGAATAGTCTCAACAGCATTCTTATCTAAGTATTTCATTGTTCCCCTGATTGTAAACAAACAAGAAGGGATAAGTGGTATTAGTTACTACACGATGTAGTTGATTTAGATAATGAGATGTGAAATTTTTGAATTAATGAAGTATAGATGAACTTTTTGGACTTTGAGTTCATGCTATAATGGGATGGGACTTTGGCGGATGTTGCATTTTGTATGTGGACAGATGTGAATTTGAGGAGCCACAGAACCATTTTAGTAGGCAGAATAAAAGCCTCCTCAAATTCTTAGAACTTGTGAATTCTAACTGTGTAGTTACCTTACACAGCAAGAGGAACTTTGCAGATATGATAAGTTTACCGGGTTTGAAATGAAGATTACGTTGAATTGTCCAGATAGGTCCAATGTAAACACATGACATCTAAAATTTGAAAGAGCGATGCAAAAAGCTGTCTTCTGGGAAGGATCTGACTCACTGTTGCTGGCTTTGAAGATGGAGAAAGAGGGTCTCTGAGCTAAGAAATGCGTATGGCCTCAGAAACTGGAAAGAGCTCTCAGGTTACAGCCAGCAAGAAAATGAAGACTTGAACCCTACAACTGCAAGAAAATGAATTCTGCCAATAACCTAAATTAGCAGGAAACTTGATTCTCCCCTAGAACATCCAGAAAGGAAGGCAGCTTTGCTAACAACTTGCTTTTAGTTAAGTGAGACGCATACCAAGTTTCTGATATACCGAATTGCAAAAATAATAGATTTGTGTTGGTTTAAGACATGAAATTTGTGGTAATTTGTTAAGGCAGAAATAGAAAATGAATACAAACTATTTAGTTCAATCTTAATTCTAAAGGCCTTCTACTTTGAGATCACATAATCTTTATCTGCTTCTTGAACAAATCAGGATCTTGTTAGCAAGGAGAAAGGAGTGGAGGGAGAATAGCAGGGAGGAATAGCAGGGAGAATCCCAATGACCAGTGCTTGCCACAGACGGCTAATCTTCATCTGGTTTAAGTCTCTAGTTCTCTCTCTCAGAATTCTACCTCATGCTTTATGATCCACCACTTTCTAATCTATGGAATAGATGATCTGTTGCTTCTATGCTCTTAGTTACTCAGTTCCCTCTGCCTGGAACACCTCCAGCCCATTGCCCATTACAAGTAATACTTAAGAACTAAGTGCTTGAATTCTTCACTCCTCACAAGAATCTTACTGAACAGCACTCATTATAGATACACACTTTTTATAGTTTGCATTATGAAATACTTAAAAATGCACAAAAGTAGAGAGAACATTGCAATGGATCCCTATCAACCAGAATTCAGCTTCCATAATCAAAATTCACATTGATAAGTCAGATAGAAATAAACAGCGATATATTCCCACAGCAGGCTGACGTGTTGTCAACAGGGATGGTTTGATTTATATCTAAGCTGAGGAAATGGATTCAATTCTCCAGGATCTTAGTTATCGTGAACTCTAACAGCAAAAATGACAAAACCACTCTCAGAGGAGACATTAAGTGCGACCAGTGACCAAGATGCAAGAAAAATCCTACTTCAGACTAGAACCTGAACAGCATATCACAAGCGTCCTAAAATGGTTGTCACGTTACAGGACTTGTCCATAAGGTCCCTTTGGCCACTTAAGACTTACTTGAAGAGAGAGCTAAGGGTTTTCCTTTTAATTTCGTTTTTTGTTTTTGTTTTTAATGGCCCACTTCAGTGTTAGCAATAGAGAAAATGTGTCCCTGATCCCTTGGATAAATCGAATTGACTGAAGAATGCTTGAATTCATTTATCCCAAAACAAAGGCAGAGAGGGCTGAGGGTCACTGGAGTTTCATGGTTGTTCCCAGGGCTGCGAGCACGGACGCCAGAGCCGACTTCCCTCCGGCCCCGCACTGCTGCAGGGACCCTTCTACGGAGGATGGCTGGGGCTCCGGGAGGCTATGGGAACGCCATCTAGAAGCTAGATCTCAGGCAAACGAACGCGCTTTAAAAGGAATTAAAACGAAAGAACACAAACTCGAATCCTGGACCTGATTAGGTGCGCGACCAAAAAAAGCAGTAACTAAAGGTTCTCACCCTCCATTTCATTCCCTCCCGCGGAAAGAGAAAGGCTGGAACTACGCTTCCCAGAATGCAAAGCGCGGGGCGGGGCTAAAGAGATAGCGCCGCGGGACAGCAGGTTTGATTATAAACGCCAGTCTCCCGCCACGGCGCTCCTCCCCCTCAGCCTGACTGGTCCTGCCGGCCGTTGCGTGGGAGGGGGACTCAGTCGTCACTGGCAGCGGTTGAATGGAGGCTCTTTGCCCCGCGCCCTCACGGTAGATGAAGTCTTTGCTTTGGTCAGGGTGATAGTTTCTCTGATTGCCTTAGAGCAAGAGGACTACATTTCCCAGGAGGCTGCGGGACTGCCGGGCGGAGTCGGGGCGGTGCCTCACGTCTGGTACAGTCATCACAAGCCTGTTCGGCGGGACTGTGATGGCCAGAGAGATGACGATCTTAGGTGGGTTCCCGGGGGTCCTTGTTGCTCTTGCGGGCGTAGAGGCGATCTGAGGATGCCAGCGTGGGTGGGGGTGGTTGACTCACCTCCTGGATCCAGCTGGAGCAGCGGAAGGGGAGTCAGAAAGGTGATTTAGAGGCGGTTTTCGGCTGTTCGGAGTGGATGGGGGCGGGGACGCCTCTAGGAGGGCCCCGGCCCCTGCAGGCCGAGGTAGGGTAGACGGCGACCAGCTGTGTCCATCCCAGGGACATTAGGCTTAAGGAGGCGTTCCTTTCAACAGCACCTAGGTTTTTGAATTGCCTGTTGAATTGGGGCAAGCTATAGAAGGCTGCGAGAACGTGCACCTCCAGGACCCCTTTGTGGAGGAAGGGGGAGGAGCTACATCCGGATCTGTTGGCTCACGCATGCTGAATTTGGAGGGATTCAGGACTCTGATGTATAGCTCGATCGATGCTTTTTCCATCAAATCGGGTTTGGAATTACCTATCCCCCACCCACACAAACACCCACCCCGCGTCTCCAAGGTGATGAAATTCTTCTAAAATGCTGCCTGTAGCTGGAAGGGGAAAGTGGGATTTGCACTTGGTTTTATTTCTTTGAGTTATGTGTTGATGAAGATGAGCTAACAGTTAGTAACACAGAGGCCTGACAATTGACTTTTTGGGTCATATGTAATACGAGTGGACACAGGTGTATAACACAGCCTCCTGATACCAAATGCGAGATTAACTAAAAACCAACGGGGCATCTTTCTTCACTTATGTTTACAATCTGCGTGGCATTTGTTCCTACTCTTTTATTCTTCTTTTTTAAATTAGTATTTGTTGGGCATCTGCTATTCCTGGTCTGGGGGATACAACAGTGAACAAAACTTGTCTTCAGGAAGCTTTCATAGATGTTGCCATCAGGGTTGCCCACTTTTATGCTGCTTCTCCTGTAAATATTACCACTGCAAGGAGGGTGTCCCTAGTTCATACTTAAATACTTAAAAAGTTAACTATGTTGTGTTATGAAGTGACAGTTTCATATCTAAGGAACTTTCAAAATCATTTTATCCGATTTATCCATTTCATCCTTTTGAAAGGGAAAAGGAGGTGAGATACGAAGATAGAATTTTAGCCTTACAATAAAAAGTTTTTGTTGTGAGGATTTTAATAATGGAGCTTTTAAAAAAATGATAGTCGAAGCTTTTTATAAAGCTATAAAATCTAAATATCAATTCATCAAGAATATTAGATTATATCTGGCTTTTGCTCCAGATAAATGTTTGTTGTCAGCATCTGCACAAATATTATTGAAATATTTTTACATTTATGACATTTATTAGAGAATGACACAAACATACAGTTATAGGGTTTTTTGTTGTTGTTTGTGTTGTTACTTCATTTTAAATTTTATTATAACCAGTTTACATTTTGAAAAACTTGCTGTCTGAGAGGAGTGTTATCAATAGTCCTGTAAAAATGTTTGGAGTTTGTCTTTTTTAGCCTTGTTTCAACAAGTGATATTACAGGGACTTTGCTACAGTAATTTGGTACATTGTTCTAGTTTGAAAAAATACATCTTTTAATGTTCCTGTATTTCAGGATCGGCTGTTTTGACCCTCCTGTTGGCTGGCTATTTGGCACAACAGTATTTACCACTGCCTACTCCCAAAGTGATTGGTATTGATCTTGGCACCACCTATTGTTCCGTTGGGGTGTTTTTTCCTGGCACAGGAAAAGTAAAGGTGATTCCAGATGAAAATGGGCATATCAGCATACCCAGCATGGTGTCTTTCACTGACAATGATGTATATGTGGGATATGAAAGCGTAGAGCTGGCAGATTCAAATCCTCAAAACACAATATATGATGCCAAAAGATTCATAGGCAAGATTTTCACCCCAGAAGAGCTGGAGGCTGAAATTGGCAGATACCCATTTAAGGTAAGTGATTAATCTAAAGTCTATATTAATTTTAGCGTACCCTTTTAGTTAATGCTTTGACTTCATGTCACAAAACATTCTATCTCGTCTAGCTGAATCTATTAATATGTGACAGTTCTGTTATTTCACATAACAAGAAATTCCACAGCAGCTCTAGGATGAGTTAATCACTGACTCCATAAGGCTAACAGGTACTTAAGGCCTTGCCATTTTCTTGCTCTCCCATCCTCAGCATGTCTTGCTTACCTCTTTCAAGGTAGCAGGAAGGTTGATGAAGCCCTGTGTACCATAGATAGATATTCTGTGTGTGTATGTGTACATATTTGTATACATATAAAGAGAACATACCAGGTGTGCCATTTTATGCTATTTAATATGTCATGGATAATTAATAGGGTCACATCATTATCTTTAATGATTTTGTGGAATGACTGTTCCATTATTAATTAGACTAGTCTCTGTCAGTGTACCTTTTTGTGGTTTTTCACTAATGTTGGAGATTCAGGTAATATCCTTACACACTTATCTTTGTACACTTCTCTGAAAGTTTCCTAACTTGAATACTGGAAGTCAAATTGATAGATCAAATGTGTGCATGTTTTTAAGGCATTTGATTTATATTGCTGGTTTGCTCACCAGAAAGGTTATATGCTTTTAACCATAATTTTTTAGAGTGACTGTATCTTCACTAGTTATTTTTTTAATCTTTAACAGTAAGATAAGTGAAAAATAGTATCCTGTATTAATTTTCATTTCTTTTGTTTTTTTTAGTGAGATCAGAATTTTTAGAATTTTATTGATATTTTAATTTTCTTTTGTGGTTCACTTTTTGTTCTTTTCCTTTTTTGTTTTGGTGTGTTTTTCTTTTCCTTAGTGACTATAAAAGACCTTCATTATATGTTTTTGTTATCTTTTCCTTACCTTTTTTTTCCACTGATGTTTTTGAGCTGGATGTCAAAGTTTTAAATTTTTGATTTTAGACTTTTACCATGTTTACTGTAGCCTATCCCATCCTATCCACTGGTACTTTTTTTTTTCCTCTTAATACATTTATGTGAGTGTTTGTTGGTTTGGATTTTGCTGCTCTTGTTTTTTTTCTTTTAAACATTTAAAGTTTTTTTCCATGTGAAGTTTTTCTTGGAAGTTATGAAGTGAAATTCTAAATGAATTAGGGTTTTTTTTTTTTTTGAGACGGAGTCTCATTCCATCTCTCAGCCTGGAATGCAATGGCATGATCTTGGCTCACGGCAGCCTCTGCCTCCCAGATTCAAGTGATTCTCCTCCCTCAGCCTCCCGAGCTGGGATTACAGGCGTGCGCCACCACGCCTGGCTAACTTTTGTATTTTTAGTAGAGACAGGATTTTACCATGCTGGCCATGAATTAGTTTCAAAATAGATAGTCGTATCGGTGTTGCTTATTGAATAAACCTATTCATAAAAATTTTCAAATTTTTCAAAGAAAAAAAAATTGCTCCCTGCATTTCTTAGGTTTATTACTTCGTTGTTTTTTGACTTCTTTTTTGGGATTCTTTATTGACTTACAATCTTTAATGAAAAAGTCATCTAAAGCTATATATGCCCTCTGAATTACAGCTTTGGGTACATTACTTATTGACCTCAAAACTATTTAAAGTTTCTAAGTGACCTGATTTTTTTGTTATTATTTTTGTTTCATTTGGGCATGATGGTTCTGGTATATTTGTATCGTAGTTTAATATTGTCCATATAGCTTTTTAATGTTTTCCCCAGACTAGTGAAGTATTTTTTGGAAGGTCAGTTTTTCATGATGGAAACCTAACCATGAGACCTAAAGTGAGAAAACATTCTTGTAATTTCTTAGATTAGTTCTCTTTTGTATTTATATTAATACAACCTGGGTAAAACTAGGATAGTATTTTTTAGAGTTAAAATAGTTTTTTAAATGTACACCCACATTATTGGGGATAATGAGCTAATGCACAATACATGTTTTCATGGGAAACAAGAATGTAAATGAGATTTGATTCTTAGATAAGTACATAATGATGTACTAAAATTATTCTTGTTAATATGTACTAGAAAATTATTTCAGCTATCCATTACTCTTAGAAACAAGAAATTTGGGGGAAAAAAGGAGAAGATTCTGAGTTACATACTTGAATGAGCAACTTTCATTTCTTACATTTCATCATTTATTTTTTCTTTATTCAGAAAACATATACTGAGAATCTTTTGTGTTCTAGTCATGTGCTTGGTGATGAATTTTATTCTGCTGTTATTAAAAACTAGTGTGGGCCAAGCGCAGTGGCTTTCACCTGTAATCCCAGCACTTTAGGAGGCTGAAGCGGGCGGATCACAAGGTCAGGAGTTCAAGACCAACCTGGCCAACATAGTGAAACCCCCCCTCTACTAAAAATACAAAAATTAGCCAGGCATGGTGGCGCGCACCTGTAGCCCCAGCCACTCGGGAGGCTGAGGCAGGAGAATTGCTTGAACCCAGGAGGCAGAGGCTGTGGTCAGCCGAGATCATGCCACCACACTCCAGCCCGGGCAACAGAGCAAGACTCCATCTCAAAAAAAAAAGTAAAACTAATATGTATTCATTGTATAGATTTGAATGTATAACATTTAACAAGTTCTAATCTTGGTGAATGTACTGGATAGATTACAAATGCATTTTTTTATTTTGTAAATATAAAGGTAAGTTCTCAGGAAGTCTAGCATTTATGTATATATGTATGTCTATGTGTGTATATATATATATTTTTACTCTTTTATTTACTTATTTGCAAATCCTATTCACAGGTTTTAAACAAAAATGGAATGGTTGAGTTTTCTGTGACAAGTAATGAGACCATCACGGTGTCCCCAGAATATGTTGGCTCTCG